TTTTTTTTTTTTTTTTTTTTTTTTTTTACCAACTGGCTTTTAGGTTATGACTTAGATGAAGCCTGAAGCATGAAATAATGAATTTTTTCTGTGTCCCTTTTGAGAGTGGAGTAGCAGTGTCTTTTCACTGGAGGATACAAAACTGGCAGTCACTTTGTACTCAGTCATTTTACTTCAAGTTTTTAACACTGTAACAACGTTTTAGTACAAAGACACTACAGCCTTCTACTTCAACAAGGGGAAGAACTGACTATAAATAGTGAGGAAATAGTCCTTTTTCATTAACTAAAAAGCCACTTATACCTTTTGTATGATGCTCCAGCAAGCTGTTGTGCAGCTGATTTGGGTAAGCATTCATACCAGGGCTTGGCAAAGCACAAAGTTCAGGTAAGTTTTGTTTGTTCATTTGCCGAAATAATTTCCATTAAAGATTCATAATCAGCATATTCCCTCAGGGATTTTATCATTTCATCTAGTAATTCTTCCCCTAACATGAATTTTTCAATGTGATGCACTGATCTGCTTATCCGGTGGTCAGTCACCCGATCCTGTGGGAAGCTGTATGTTCTGATCTTCTCAGATCTTCCTCTGGTCCCAACCTATGGAGACAAGAAAGACCAGTTTACCATCATATCATCATCACCTTTTTACCCATCACATACTCCCCCTCTACGCGACGCTGGTCAGGCCACAGCTGGAGTATTGTGTCCAGTTCTGTGCGCCACATTTCAGGAGGAATGTGGACAACATGGAGAGGGTCCAGAGGAGGGCCACCCGCATGATCCGGGGACAACAGGGCAGACCCTACAGTGAGAGACTGCAGGACCTGAACCTATTCAGCCTCCATAAGAGAAGGCTGAGGGGGGACCTGGTGACAGTCTATAGATTCACTAGGGGGGACCAGAAGGGTTTGGGGGAGACGCTGTTTCCCCTAGCGCCCGCTGGCATAACAAGAAGCAATGGGCACAAGTTGATGGAGAGGAGGTATAGATTGGACATCCGCAAGAACTACTTCACAGTTAGGGCGGCTAGGAGCTGGAACCAACTTCCAAGGGAAGTGGTGCTGGCCCCTACCCTGGGGGTCTTTAAGAAGAGGCTGGATGCCTACCTGGCTGGACTCATTTGAGTCCCGTTTCTCTTTTTGGGGTTTTTTGTTGTTCTCCCGCCCTGGTGGGGGGGTCGGGCTAGAAGATCTACTAGGTCCCTTCCGACCCTTAATCTATGAATCTACTGCACAAGTTCAGCGTGTGAACCTTATCTCTTTTCTCTCCATTGAAAATGAACAGCATACAGAGACGTAGTGATGGGACAACTCTATTCCTGTTAACTGTATCTGCAGCTGAGCCTTATATTAACTAGATACATAAACTAAGAACTCAATTGTGTTTCTTATACTTACCATAAATTTACATGAACACCTGAGTATGCATTATAGGATGAGAAAATTATGTATGTATTTAAAGTTGGTATTTTTTCTAGCATTGTTTTGGCTCCTGGTACTTGGTAGCTCCGGGGTATCAAAGGTATTGTCCATGGGCTGGATCTGAACTGCAGAACCATATCACCCTGCCCCCAGTGCTAATCGTGGGTCTCAGTGACCCATAAGGAGCACACAGACTGCACTGGATGGCCTATGTCTCCCACATAGCACCTGCTTCTGCTCATATCCCAGAACAGCAGAGTGGTTACTGAGTGCAGCACAGCCCTGGAGTAGCTATGTGTTGCTCTGGAGCCTGTGGTGGTGGCTCTAGAGCTATGTGGTGCAGCCTTGGAGCAGCTGGAGCATGACTGGGCTACACATGGTGCCCACTCTGGTCACTTCACACATGCTAGAATGCCAGGCTGGTCTGTGGGTCTGGCCTGACCAACAGACTAGCCCTGCACCAATCCCTGCTTTGACATTCCTGCTGTAGTTGTATTTTATTCCGCTGGTTTCAGTAGGTCTCTAGATCTGTACAGTACTGTATATGTAAAAATAGAAAAGGGAGTTTATGTTGAACTACTGTAAGTTTTTGCATGTCATACCACAGTATTAAAAGGTCAAATATTTTGTAAGTTACCATGGTTACAAACTGGTATCACACTTCATTATTTTTATGGTTTCTAGTTGTGATGATTCAAAAGACAGACTTAACCTGCCCCAGGACCATACAGAGCAAGCAGCCTGAATGCTACTCAGGGGCTTGTAATGTCTGCCACATTAAGCCTTGAAGGAGCCTAGAGAACTAGTCCAGGACCAGCAGACATACTGCTATTGACAATGTATATGTAACAGAAGCCCTTCAAGCCCTGTGTGACATTGCCTGGCTCCAAAACCTTAGCTCAATGTACAGGATAATTATAGTTTCATAGCTTCTAGGGTCGGAAGGGACCTGAGCAGATCATCTAGTCCGACCCCCTGCCATGGCAGGAAAGAGCACTGGGGTCAAACGACCCCAGTAAGGTGGTCATCCAACCTCCTCTTAAAAACCCCCAGGGTGGGAGCCTGCACCACCTCACTTGGAAGCTGGTTCCAGACCCTAGCCGCCCTGACCGTGAAGTAGCGCCTCCTGATGTCCAACTTAAACCTTCCCTCCGCCAGCTTGTGACCGTTGTTCCTGGTCACTCCTTGCGGCACTCGGGGAAACAGCTAATATGAAATTAGCTAATATGAAAACCAACTATGCATTCTGAAACCTCATCTTCTGAAGTTTTAAATAAAAATAAGCTGTGTGTTATATTTGGCTGTAAAGAAATCAATATTCTATTTAATCTAATATAAAACAATTAAAATGCAACTTACTATTATGGCTAGTGAAACAGCAGAAAAAATATTTGTATTTTACTGGTATTTGTTGCTAAATATTTTCAGAGAGAAGTTATTTTACCAGTGATAGAAACTGCTGAAGACAGCAAAAAAGATATATACAGTAAAAACTGTGTTATTTGGCACTATATTAAAAATCAGCATGCTGACTGACACAGCAAAAGGGAAACTGGAAGTCTCACCATGGCACTTCCAGTTTTGCCGAGTCCCACTTGCCAACTTTGGACCACAGTCCAGGGCAAAGCAGCCTGCATGGGGCCCCCCTCCCTGTTTACCAGCACACTGACACCAGAGAGTGAAAGCCCTGGTGTACCAGATGCGGCAGGAGGGGCAGTGGCCCGAACAGGCAAAGATGCCTTTTAGATAACAAGCATATTTGATTAACTGGCACTCCCCATTTCCCGTGGATGCCAGATAACACAGCTTTTACTGCAGTATAGTAGCATATATATAAGTATGTTTTACAAAACGCATCTCCAATACAATTCAAAACAATACCATCCCATGTTCCTCTGTCCCTACAGACTAGACCTGCAAGAACAGAACCTTGTTTTGAGAGATCTTGAAGCCTCTTTTCTAAGATATTATCAGGCAATGGATGAAATCTCTGATGGTGGGAACTATTCCTTCTGGAAATACAGAAGGGAATGAGGCAGAGGAGTTTTTGTCTTTCCTCACTCATTTCCTCAGTCTCCTTGCATACATCACGTGCCTCCTCCGATTTTTTATGCTTGCATTCTATAGCTCTTTGGGCCTCCCCCTGCTCTAGTTTCTTTCAGGTCCACTATGCCTTCCTTTATTCCTCTTTCCATGTCTTGCCAGAGTTTGCCCTCCTTCAAGCATTCCTTTTTTCTTCCTCTCCCTGAGTCTTCTTCATCCTGATACTGAAACATAGACACATTCCACCCAATTGATTTTTCTTCTGGTTCACTGTCCAGCATTCTATTTGTTCATTTCATACTCCTTTCTGGACCCAGTCTGACCTTGCTTCCCCTAGGACATGTCTACATGTGTCGCTTTGGCAATGTTGTTATGGCACAGTAACAGCCTGTACTGTACCGTATGATCAGCACACAGTTATTTTTAGCAGCTACTTCGCTGTAGTGGCGTGTTATACCAGGGAAGCATGTCGCTACGGCAAAGCAGCTGCTTGTCATGTATAGACACCCACGGACGCTACCTCGCTGCTGCGACATAGCATCATGTGCAGACGCACCCCTAGTGTCCTATTCCCACCTCAGTGAAGAATGCATGTATGTGTGTGCACACACTCATTCATTTGCAAAATTACTCATACCTGAATCTTTCGGTTACTGCATCTCTTTCTTGTCACTTCTTCCACCTGGATATTATACAGTCTAGCGTGAAGTACTTTCATAGCCTTCTCTTTGTTTTTCAGCTGAGATCTTTGTTCTTGGCATTCAGCCACCACACCTAATTAGAGCATGAAATGTTAAACCTCATTATATTCATAAGTTATTTAATAAGAATGTGATTACATAGAAATTATCTTATGCAAAGATTAAAAAAAAGATTTTTTAAAAAACGTATGCAAGGGAGGAGGTGGAAAGCAGTCAAAAAAACTTCTAAAACATAAAGGCCTACAGCCTATCCCACCTCAGAATTCTAAGCATGACCTAATTTCACCATTCTCTCTAGTGCTGAGAAACTATTAACTTATCTACGTTTGCAATGTACCATTATCTCAGCTTTAAAATAGTCATGACAATAAACCACAGAGAAGAAACCACCTGTACTTTGTATCAGCAATTTTTCAGGGGCTCAGAGTAGAACAGGATCTACCAAGGCCCCATAATAAAGGGGCTGAGTCAGCCCAGGCCCAGACGGATATAAAAGGAGACTCCCCAGGCTACCAGGGAGCCTGTGACTAGGAAGCCAGTGAATAGGGACTGCCAACAGGGGAAGCAGTTTGGTGGTAGTTCGGGGGTAGTAGCATAGCCTATTACCACACAATCCTTGAGCATTGCTGAGACCTTCAACCAGACAGAGTCTGTGGCCCCGGACTGTGGGGGCTGTCTGGCACAACTGCGCATGGGGGCATTCCCACTTATGGGGTATGCTCCCTGGTGGAGTCTCTGGAGGGCCGAGTGTGGGAGCTTGAGGAGGAGGTACGCCAGTAACACACTATCAAGGCTGACAAAGATTACATCAACAGCTACTGCCAGGCCCTACTCCAGGAAAAAAAGTTGAGAAGAAGGTGGAGGAGAAGGTGACCATGAAGAAGACTAGCCACAAAGACCCTCCCAGAGCTACTTGGAAGACAGTAGTTTCCAGATCCAGAGCATGCAGAGCTTGGACTACTCCTCCCCAGACGTTGCATAACAAGTATGCTCCCCTCATTACACATGAGGAGACTCCAACAGAGACACCAGAGGGGGAGGTAAGTACTCAGGAGGCAAGTACTTTCACCCCTAGGTAGGGATGCCGGGTGGTGGTGGTGGGGGAGGTGGGACGGGACTTTCTCTTGTGGGGCACAGAGGGACCTATCTGCCATCCGGACCCGTTGGCCCAAGACGTCTGCTGCCTTCCTGGGACCCACATCCAGGACGTTGCAGAGAGGATCCCCAGGCTCGCCGGTCCCTCCAACTACAACTTCATGCTCCTCATCCATGTGGGCATGAAGGACACAGCCAGGAGTACTTTGGACTGGGTCATGAGTGACTACAGGGTTCTAGGGGCTGAGCTCAAGCAGTTTTTTCTTCTGTGCTCCCTGTTGCAGGCCATGGACCCAAGAGGGAAGGCTGTGTGGAAGAAGTAAACAGACGCCTCCAACTGTGGTGCTACTGTGATGGATTTGGTTTCTTTGACCACAGCACACACTTCAGGGAGAGAGGACCCTTGGACAAGATGGCATCCACTTCACATGGAGAGGTAAGGCCCCATTCTCAGCCAGAATGGCTGATCTCCTAGACAGGGCTCTTTACTGACTCTGCTGCCAGATGGAGAAACTCCAAGTGGAGCATGCCTGGGGACTGGCACACAGGAAAGTTCCCACGTGGAGGACACTAAGAGAACTATTTTTGAAAATGCTAATGGAACAGTTCTCCCACAGCATCTCAGGAAATCAAGGGTGTCAGTTGGAGGCCTGAGCTGCCTGTACACCAATGCCAGGAGCATGGGAAACGACCAGGAGGAGCTAGCCCTCCTGCTCTCTAGTGGGCAATATGACCTGGTAGGGATCACGGAGACCTGGTGGCACTCCTTGCATGATTGGAGCATAGCTATAGAGGGCTACACCCTGCACAGAAGGGACCGAGCAGGGAGAAAAGGCAGAGGGTAGCTCTCTATGTGAGGGAGCGATACACCTCTCTGATAAGATACACCTGGCTCCAAAGATAAGCAGCTTGAAACCCTCTGGGTCAAGCTTGGGGGGGTGGGGGGGGAAGGTGAGAGAGACCTAACTGTGGGTGTTTACTATAGGCCACCGAACCAAGGGGAGGGGCTTGATCTGGAGTTCTCTCAAGAACCGACAGAGGTCATGCACACAAGGGACCTGGTTGGCACTGGCGACTTCAATTACTCGGACACAAATTGGGAGGAACACTCGACTAGGTCGGAACGGTCACATAGCTTCTTAACTGTAAATCAAGGAGCTTTCTGATCCAGGAAGTGCAAGGGCCAATCAGAGGTTCTGCTCTCCCAGACTTGGTCTTGGCCAAAGGAGATGATCTGGTGTGTGGCTTGAACACTGCGGGTAGTCTGGGCAACAGCGACCATGAGCTCATCAGGTTCACTGTCCGCCACAAGGCTGACAAATGAACTACCAGGACTGAAGTCCTGGACTTCAAAAATGCTGACTTCAACAGGCTCAGGACATTTGTAGGGGAGGTGATGTGTGACCAGGGACAGAAGGCGAATGGGGTGCATGAAGAGTGGTCATTCCTCAAGGACACAATTCTCAAAGCACAAAAGAAAACCGTCCCCATGAAGAAGAACGGTAGCAGGAGGGCTGGCAAGGCCTCCTGGCTCAATAGGGACATCGCGGTCCTCTTGAAAAAGAAAAAAAGAGGCGTACACACAGCAGAAGCTAGGGACAGTATACAACAGTGGTCTGCACTTCTGGGAAATGATTAGGAAAGCTAAGGCAGCAACTGAGTTTAAGCAAGCCAAGGGAGTCAAGGACAATAAGAAATCCTCCTTTAGGTATGTAGGGAGCAGAAGAAAAACAAATGTTAGCGTGAGGCCCCTGCTTAATACCTCAGGACAGCTGGTAATGGACACTCAGGGAAAAATTGAACTCCTGAATGCCCACTGTGTTTCGGTATTTCACCAGACCAAGTGAAAGACAAGCAAGATAAGGATCACAGGGGGCATGGTGGAAATGATAGCCTTCCCACTGTGGATGCTGAGCTGGCGCAATGCCAACTACAAAAGCTAGACATTTATAAGTCCAGGTGAACTTCACCTGAGAGTGCTGTTGGAGCTGGATGAGGTCATTGCAGAAACCCTGGCAAAACTCTTTCAGAAATCATGGCACACAGGGGAGATCCCTGAGGATTAGAAGAGGGCCAACACTGAGCCCATCTTCAAGAATGGGAAGAGGAAGGATCCAGGCAACTACAGGCCAATCAGCCTAACCTCCATCCCAGGGAAAATCCTGGAAAAACTCATTAAAGAATCTACATGCAATACGCTCGTTCAAGGTAAGATTCTGAACGACACCCAGCATGGCTTTTGTCATGGGTAGGTCTTGTTTTAGCAATCTCATCTCCTTTTACGAACAGGTCTCTTGCCACCTGGACATGGGAGAGAAGGTCGACATTATATAACTAGACTTCCAAAAGGCTTTTGATTTAGTATCCCATGAGATCCTTATGGAAAAATTGGAAGATTGTGGGCTTAACTGCTCAGCAGTTTAGTGGGTGGAAAAGTGGCTGCATGGTAGGACCGAGAGAGTTCTCATGAACAGATCTGTGTTGTCCTAATGAGAAATGGCCAGTGGTATCCCTCAGGAGTCTGTGCTTGGACTGGTGCTTTTCAACATCTTTAACAATTATTTGGATGTGGGGATGAAAAGCTCACTGGCCAAGTTTGCGGACGACCAAGTTATGGGGGAGTATGGTCACGCCAGAAGATAGGTTGCAGCTACAGACAGATCTGGACAGGCTGGAGAGCTGGGCGGACCAGAACCAGATGAAGTTCAACACTCGGAAGTGTAAGGTGCTTCATCTGGGGGCAAACAATCCCCAACATACCTACAGGCTTAGTGGCAACAATTTGACTTGCGCCACGGCTGAAAGGGACCTAAGGGTAGTGATTAACCATTACATGAAAATGAGCCAGCAGTGCAATGCTGTGGTCAGCAGGGCAAACAACACCCTGGCATGCATTAACTGTTGCATCTCATGCAAAACTAAGGAAGTGATACTCCCACTGTACTCCACGCTGATGAGACCGCAATTCAAGTACTGCATCCAGTTCTGGGTGCCACACTTCAACAAGGAGGTGGAAAAACTTGAGAGAGTCCAGGGAAGAGCCACCTGTATGATCAGGGACTTGCAAGACAAGCCATATATGAGGAGAGGCTGAGGAACTTGGGCCTCTTTAGCCTAGAAAAGAGAAGGTTGAGAGGGGACTTGGTAATGGGAGTACATCAAAAACTCGGTAAACAGCTGTTCACCAGTGCACCCCCAGGGAAAGACCAGGAGGAATGGATACAAACTCCTGGAAGGCTGCTTCAGGCTCAATTCCAGGA